TGTGTGTGTGTGTGTGTGTGTGTGTGTGTGGGGACCAACCCCAAGGTTTATGATTTAACTTCATTACAGTGCTTCAATCCGCCTAATAAACCAGAATTTTAAGGATCCCAAGTTGGACATTTGTAGCCAACATGTGTATAAACTGGGATTGCCAAGAATGATAGACCTGTGGTATTCTGGCAGCAGATTCATTAGTTCTGACAGGATCTTGGGTTCAAGACTAGCATACAAGCAAGAATTTTAGGATTTTTTTTAACATTTTGCCTCATAGATTATTATGGATACATTCAAATGTTTCACTTGATAGGACATGTGAGGTGAGAGAAAAAGAGGATTGCTACTGTGCTTCTTTCTGACTCATTCTGGGATTTTTTTTTTTTTAGTTTTGTTGAACATCTTGTAGGAATTAGGTATGTTAAGAGTTGGAAATGGTATTGAGCTTAATCTCAGTTACATAAGGTAATAGTGTTTCATCAAAAATCAATTCATGAATGGTTTTGATTTTGTTTATGGTCAACATTTATCAGCAGACACAAAAGGCTGTTGATCTTCATCTCCCCTGGTGGTTGGAAATTATGGCAAGAGTGATGACAGGACAACAATCTTGCATGATAATGTATCATGTCAGACAATAGAGAAAGAAGGGGAAGTGTTGTAGATTCCTCTTGGAGGTCCCATGCCCCCTAAAAGAGAGACTGCGCTGTCCTATTATCGAGAAGTTTTGTGAAATGGTCTATATACAGATGGAACTGATTGCAGCAGACTGCTAGAATGACAGATCAGCATGAGTGGATAACTTTGCAGTAAAATCAACTTAAAACATAGGCAAACTGAAAAAATAATTGCAAGCCAACAACTAGCAGAAGGATTTGGAAGCATGAAGTAACTTTTTTTTTTAAATAAATTGATTCAAATTGACGGTGTCCTTGTTCTCAAGACTTCTGAAAGTTGCTTTTGTTTGGTAAAACCATTACTGCCTTGTCCTTTGTTTTGCAAACCTACAGCATATTAATACTTTTTTGTACTAGTGCAGCATTTTCTATCTTTCCAGATCAGACACACAGGTGAAGCACTGTCTAGTGTCCAAAACTTCTTAATTTTAAGTACTATTTTACTGTGGAGTAAAAAACTTGGTAGCAGCACAGATGTAGATGCTGCCCTGGCTGGCTGGCTGCCTGCCAGCTAGCCCCCACACTGAAGCACTCTCATGCCTCAGCCAGCCCTTCCACTGCATGTTGAGGCAGGAGAAGCAGCCCCGGGCTGGCAGGCTGACCCCCAGAGCCTCCTGCCAGCCGGGGCTGCTCCACCCCAGCTCTACATGCTGCACATGAATAAACTGTAGAGCTTATTGCTCCAAAGTTAGTTGTTTCTGGGTGCACATTCAAATGGCATGCCTGGGAGCAATAAAATGTGGAGCAATAACCTCTGCAATTTATTCATGCACCATAATTGTATGTGTAGATGTGCCCACTGACTTCTTTTATAGTGCTGAAAAAGTGACTTGTCCCCTTTCTCTCACTTTCCCCATCTGCAATATAAGAATAACTATTATTTATTTTCCTTGCTATAACCCCTGGCAGCCTTCATCACAGACCAAAACTTCACTGTCACAGGAGCTGCTTTACAAAGAGAACAAAAAGATGGTCCCTGGCCCAGAGAGCCACATGTACTTTCCTGCCTTGCAAAGGAGTTGTGCTGACTGATTAATAATCATAAAGCAATTTTTTCTTTTTTAAGCAAAGCTTTGAAAAGACTAGTCTGTTTAAATACAACGTAGCAGTGTAAACAGGTAGAAGAAAAGAGGGAGATTGGTTCACTTGATGGAAAGGAAGGCTGTACAGGATTTCATGTGGGAAACTGCAATTTTTCACACAGTAATTGCTTTCTGAGAAAAAACAAAAAGGGCAGTATTCTGAGCTCTGGAGCTTCATAACATTTTTCAGCATTTTGCCTTTTGAATCATATCACAGCTATAAGCAGAAAAGGAGACTATCCAAAATGTTTATAGAATGTTCATGATTTAAAAGTAATTGAAAGGTTTGTTTTCTTTTTCTATTACAGCAATTTTAGTATGATAGCATCTGACATTTACAGTTGACAGTATTGCTTGTAAGGGTGCATTAATCATTTTTTTTCTCCTTCTAAAGGAGATCTTTATGAAAAGTTAGCAAAAAAAACAGTTCATACCTTGGGCTTGTCCCTTCTAATTCTTTAAATGTACATTAGCTCCTTATGCAAAGAAAAACTGTAACTGCTAATATCTGAGGGCATTTATACACATGCTCTGGTTAGGGGGGAGGCTTTAGTTAGACCGGCTCTGTGAGCCAGTCTAATTAAAGCCCCCGGCCTCCGAAGTGTCTTGTGTATCACCGTGCCTGCCGTTCAAAAAGGCAGCAGGAGCACTCTAACTAAAGTTCATCAAAAGAACTATAGTTAAAGTGCCCCCACTGCCATTTTGAAGCATGGGGACACTGATATACAAGCTGCTGGAGTCTGCTGGAGCACAGTAATTACCATACTCCAGCAGACTAAATGAATTGAGTCTGCTCCTATATGCTGTAATTAGAGTGTGTTAGAGCAGCCTCACTGCTCGTGTATAGGCACCCTGAATACCACTGAAATAAACAACTAGATATGCAAATAAAAATGGCTTTTAATACCACATCAGATGTCTGAAGCTTTGATGATCAAACCTTCATGGGTGACTGGTACCAACTGAGTCGGGGGGGGGGGGGGGGGGGGGGGGCGTGCCCCCCCCCCAGTGACCAGTCAGCAGGTCCCCCCGTGGCCAATCTCGCGGGCCAGGGGGTGCCCCGTGGCCAATCGCACTCACCTGAAAGTGGCCACATACCTCCCGAAAGTAGCTGCAGTCACTTCCAGGAGCGCCGCAGCCGTTTCATCCAATGCTTCATTCCAGCCGGCACTCACAGTGGGGACACAGGAGCTCCTGCCTGCCCCCCCACCCATCACCTAAGCGGGAAGCACAATTTGACATGGGGTGCACCAGCGCTCCTCAGGGGGTGCACATGCACCACTGTGCATCCCATACGCATTGCCATTGCAGACCTTTCTAACATAATAAAACACGGGACAAAAATCATCCTGTATCTTTAAAGATTAAGCTACACAGTGCTGGACTTTTAGAAGAAAAATTATTCTAATTGACCTGGCCTAGAATACAAGTATTTTCTATATATTTACTAATTGGTTCCAAAATACATATACTCCCTATGATCAGAGAACTGAGGAAGAATGTTGTGCATTTGAAAGCTTGTCTAACTTTATCCCAACTATATGGTGGGTTAAAAGGTATCATGGTAAGAAATACTTGAGATATGCAAAAAGTGCAGTACAAAATTAGACAAGCACAAGTCTATCCACTCCAATCCAATTTATGTATTCTCACAGCCCTCAATAACTAAAATTAATGCAGACTTTCCCCCTCAACTCCATTGAATTAATGAAGCCAGATAATTATGTTAATAACCAGTTGTTTTTCTGTGTTAATGGCACTTAGCAGGTTGGTGTGTGTGATTGTCCATCCTGAAGAAGAGTGAATTAGATTAATACTTTGGTACTTGAGAGAATTAATGCAATTTGATCATCGGTATATTTCAGAACAGTCTGGCAAGCACATTGACTGAGAGAGATACTTTGTGGGGTTGAAAATTTAAAGCAGTAATGCCTCAAAATACTTTACTTCTCTTGACAGAAAGGTATTTACTGAGGCTGTTGTACTGAATAAATTGATCGCTGGTTCTGGGGTGTACTAATAATCTTCTAGTGAGGTTCTGGTTTCAGAGGGATAAGGTCAAACATGTGCCCAGGGTTTAGATGCTTCCCCAACTTCTTAGGTTAGGAAAGCTGGGATGAAAGCTTTGCAAGAGGTTTCCTTGTGAGATTTCTAGGGCTTCTTGTCACCTCAAGATACCCAAAGGATGATCTCACAAACTAGTCTGCAACCCCTTATGCTCCCAGAAAGAAGCAGAAAATGCAGAGACTCATGAAATTTAATGTAATCACTAGAAAAGATTCGTGTTAGATTTTGCAAAGAGTTTTGACAAAGATCTTATTTTATTAATCCTTGCCTGGGTCACTCATGAGCTAAAAACAGATGACCAGTTTAATCCAGGAGTTGATTAGTCGGAGATCTGACTTCCAACAAAAAAAGGCCTGGGACAGTCATTTACACATGAGCTTTATATGGCAATTAACTTGAATTAGCCATGGATGTTCTAAGGCAAAGTGTTAATTCAGATATTTCGCAGGTACTTAATGTGGGACAGTGGGCATCTGTGTAAGGTCTGGGGAAACTGTCTGTTTCTAGCCATAATGTTTATTCCTGCTTTCTTTCTGATTGCACATGGTGTCCAAAGTCGCCAATAATACTCGATTTAGAAGCATCCAACGAGTGTAGTCAATTTCACTGTATTGTAATTGCCTAGCTGAGAGTTTGACACTGATTTTGCAGAGAGTCTTTTGTAGCACATATGTGCCACAGTGTAATGAATGAATAGTTGACACTTAAATAGTGGCAATGGTCTTCAGCCAAATTGCTGAGAGGTGCAAATGTCTAAATAATAACAGATTATCTTCTATTTCACTTTCTTTTCCCTCTTGCCTAGACAAAAATAAATCAGCAGCTAACTATGCTGCTTTGTATTTACAGGACACAGCAGTTATCATTTGGCATAACCCTAAGTCATTGCACTTTTTCAGCAACCTTAATGCTGTTTTCTGAACAAAGATAGATGCCCTATATAATTTTAGTTATTAAGACTGACAGACCACAGATCTAAGAAACACAGAGCAACCAAGAAACACAATTAAAAGCTGATCTCCTAACTGCAGCAGATGTAGGAGATATTGTGCCGAGTATGATGTAAGCTTTGATCATATCTTGTCATGTGCACACATGTATATAGCAAGTACTCCAGGGACCAAAAAAGTCTCAAGAGGGTGGACTCTTTAAATCGCTAGCTTACCCTGGATTATATTTATTATAAAGTGTTAGATCAAATGGCTGCTTTAAAATACTGGCCTTCAGATGGAAAATGGCAAAGCTCCTAGCAATGATACTCCAGCTGCTATTTTTAAATGAAACTACAGCTTCTACAGATCAGGTGATGAAGCTTGTGGTCTGCATGTGACTTTATGGTGTTGTGATTGTTTTGCTCCAGGGTCTGTTTTGAAGCCATTCCTGGTCATAAAGAAATGATACTTAAGGATGGTCATTTAGGACAGATGGACACTAAAAAGAGATCTAATTAAGTCTACAGATATTTAATAATACAGAGCCAAGGACGAGGTTACAGTTGCATGCAGATCAAAAGTAATTGGTTGTCCCTTGCAAGCAGAAAACAGGTATTTGGACTCAGGATTTCAAACAGATATTAGATGGATCATAAATTTAATAGCAAACTCGTAAGTCCTGTATCAAGATAGCTTAACTTAACATAGTTTTGACTCTAGTTGACTTCCTGCCCTTGGGGCAGGGGGCTGGACTTGATGATCTTCCAAGGTCCCTTCCAGCCCTAATGTTTATGAAATCTATGAAACATTTGCTATTAATCTTTCTAACATCAGCTACTTTGCTGCTACACTGTGCATTTTAAATCTTTACATTCTGTTTGAAAAGCATCATTTCAGAGATGCTGTATTTGTCCAACAGCAATAGAAAGATCCCTTCCCCCATATACCAGCTTCATCATCAGTCACACAAGCAAACAACGCCCCTTGCTGTTGTAAAGCATTTCAATTTTTATTTCAAAACCAAGCGTCTTTCAACTGGGCAAAAGGTCTCCCTCAGAATGGGACTTGTGCAAAATCTGAAATGTGTAAGAAAGTTATTAATGACCAAATGCCATAGAATCATAGAAATCATGAAGAAATGGGGCTGGAAAGGACCTTCGTAGGTCATCTAGTCCAACCCCCTGCCTTCCCTCATCCGCCCCTGCCTGCCTTCATCTGCGCCTCCCTGACCTGCTGTCTTTCTTCCCTTGCTGCACTGATTCCTACCCATTTGCTAAGAGCTGCATTTCTTCTCCCTCACAAGCACAGAAGGATCCAGGCTGCACCCTGGTGAGGGTATCCCTAGTAGCTTATGCTGAACAGGCTGGGGGCAGGGTTTCACTGGGCAGTGTCCACTAGCTTCTTGGACTTGTTTGAGGGCTAGTGGGCAGTGGCTCATGTGCTCTGCTTGGTGTTCCCCCTTGGAGCACTTGTTATTAACCTCTCACCCTCACTTCTGTCCCTGCTAGTTGTCCCAAGAAACCTGCTGGTGTACACTTGATAGCTCCCTCTAACAATAGGGAGGAGCGATCCATTTCTGTTTGGGCCCATGCCCATGATTCTTTTGTGCATCAAATATGCCAACCCCCTGCCTGAGGCAGTATCGTCCCGATCTGAACCATCCTGTACAAATCCATAATCTAAGCTCTTAGTAAAACGACTGTTAGCCCTGATGCAGCTCAAGACATGACATCCTAACCTGCCACAGGTAAAGCAGGGGGACCACGGCAGCCAAATGTGCATCTGAAACATGCCTTGCCTTAGCTTAACAAGGCAGTACTACTGTCTATGCTCTCTCAAAAATTAGCCATTTCCCACCCTCCCTTCAACCTTCTCCTGCTTGCTTCTGGGCTGACACTCCAAAGGACAGCTCTGAAAAGAGAGAAAAGTGGCTGGAAATAACTGAGCAGAACAGCAAGCCCATTGCTGTGGCAATGGTTGCTGCTGCCGATTAATTAATGTTGGGCTACTCAGCCCCAAAGCCCATTCCCATAAATGAAGTTTATTGACAACATTTCATAGAAACAGAACATTAGCTGCCGTGATTTCCCTGCTTTACCTGTGCAGGTCAGGGTGCTAGGTCTGCGTTGTGTCAGAGTTGATGGTAGTCTTCGGTACAGTTTACATTATGGATTGTACAAGATGCTTTGGATCAGGATGGTCCTGCCCCATGCTGGGGTTAGACTAGATGACCTCTGGAGTTCCCTTCCAGCCCGGCTTCTCTGCGATTATGATTTTCCACTGAGAATAACAGGCCACGTCTACATGAGATACTGACTGCAGTCATTTAGTACTTGTTTATACAAGTACTAAAGTTTATGCAAGTACTAAATGACTGTGCAGTAGCCTGTGTTACTGCACAGTATCACCGATGAACAGCTTTTTCGGGGGACGCTGACTATGCAGTAGCCCAAGATGAACTGGGCAGGCAGGACTGAGAAGTCTGTTTAGAAGGGCACTGCTTGGATCTTCTCCGCCCCGCAGTGCACTGGAAGGCGTTGTGACTAGGCTGCCATTTGGGCCAAAGGCTCATAGGCTTGACGGCTGCTTTCTAGCTCCTAACCCCAGTAGTGCTTCAACCTCAACCCAGCAGCAGCCAGTTTGGAGGGGAAGCGTCTCACTTTTGAAGCAGAGCAAGCGGAGCAGAGGAAGGGAGAGGAGAGGTCCCCCAGCCTGCAGCCTGCCCTCCCTCGTGGACCCACCTGCAACCCCTCAGCCAGGTCCATGGCTCAAGGACTGCACTCTGCAGTCACCTCACAGCCCACCTAAGCTGCAGGACAACTCATCTCCCCAGCCCAGGGACTGTCTGGGCCAGCCACCTATCGCCAACAAAATGCTAGGAGGGCTCTGCTTCTTAAAACTCATGTGAAGAGCCCAAGGGCCTGGCCCTCCACCTGGGCCCTCTCAAGCCTGTATTAACAACCTTTTATAGAAGCAGGACATTGGGTGCTGTGGCTCCCCTGCTGGGGCACCTTGGTGTGTGCTGTGTCAGGGTCTCACGCAGAGGTTATATTAGGGCTTGCAGGGCTGATCAGGGGTTGGACTAGATGACCTGTGGAGGACCCTTCCTCCCAGCTTCTCTGTGATTTTATGAACTTTAGCCAGCGCCTGCCCCTGCCAGGGCTCAGCTATGGCACTGCCCTGCTGCCTCAGGCACTTGCTGAGGGCGGGCTTTCTGCTCCCCTCACAGGCGGGGCCCCAACGGCTTGGAATGAAGAGGCGGCGGCGGGGCGGGCGGTTGGAACGGGACAGACGTTCCGGGCCGTTGGCTCACCGTGCACCACCCCGAACCCCGCTACGTCACCACCCCGGCCCGCCTACTCTGCGCACGCGCAACTGCCCCTGACGGGCGTGGCTTGTTTGCCC